GCTTCTACGAGGAAGGTATTATGAAGTTGGTCTAGATGGAAACAGATCATCGAACAAAACGGCGCATATTTTAACTAAATCCGATTACTATAACACTTTTTATAAAGCATTGAATGAAGAGCAAAAAAACGGAAGGGATATATTTAACAACCTTATATATGATATAACATTTACCCGTCTTGTAGGGTGCCGAATTATTTAAATCGCTATACACATATTACCAATTCAATTTAAAGTAAGATTTTGTTAACTTCTACTAAAATCTTTCATTTTCCATGCGTTTTCAAACGCAACAAACAAGCGAAGCCGAAAACTGTAAAATTGCGTCCCGCGTGAATGGGGGTATTCACATTCCTAATTGAGAGGACGGTATCATGCCGTGGAAAAGTCGTATAAATCTTTTGTATATCGTAAGGGTATGCCAGAAATTTGTAGAACTGAGTACGAGCAAGTGATGAGGTATATGAATAGATGTTGTTCCCAATGCCATATTTTCAATGTCCCTTCTATCTTCGAACGCATTTCAACGATATTGTTATCGCAATCAACTGATTATTTCTCGAATCTCTTCTTTGCTGTCTCTTTTTCGCTGACAGCAATAATAATTGATCACGACTCACAGGGCGGTAAATAATAAAAGTAATATTTTTTGCTGTTCCTCTTAGCATGCTAGAAAAATATTAAGTGCAGCATTTGAATTATATTTACTATTCAAGTAAAATCAACGCAATGGTATTATCCGAAACCGAGAAGGTAAGTTCTGTGCCTATCTGAAGGCAAAAATCGCGCTTATGTCAGAGGACAGCTATAATGGTTTGCAGTTGACAAGAAAATACTTATGGATGTGTACCTAAAAAATGCCTTGCTTATAAGCGATACATAAGCAGAAAATTTTTGATATAAAAAAACTGGCAACGTGTTTCTCGTGGCAAAAATGTTTATACGTGAGTCAAAAACCATAAAAGTATTGGTTATTGAATGGCAATTTAGGAACATTCTAGAATAATTGTTACCTATTATAGCAAATCGACAATAGTAACAAGTGCAGAATAAAAAACAAGCTTTATTTTGAAAAACGCCATTATTAATTTGGAACAAGTGCAGAATATCGACTCCTCGCACCGATAAAAATTAATTAGTAGGCGTGGATCTCGCCTTTTTCACGAATTTAGTAGTATATAATATTTCTTGTGCAAATGAATCTATTTTTTTTTTTTTTGACATTCCTACGACGATTTCTTCGTTGTATAAATAATTTTTCGATTTAAAATTTGAACTGTTGCTTTGTCTAACTTATATCGAAATCAGATATCAAATCAAATGGATCAAAATGATCCATTTTTCTTATAGGCACTCTCCTCAAAAACGAGATATTCACTTATTTAACTGTAAATATAATATAATATAATAAATGAATATACAATTTTTTAATTGACATTAAATTTCATTTGCTCATTTGGAATCAGCTTTAGCTCACTTTAAATGAAGGGGAAAACTTTTATACACAGTTGTGTTTAGAAAAATAGCAGCAGGCTTCAAGAATGGAAAAATTCCAAATATTTTTAAAGCAAATTATAATTTTACCAATTAATTTATGGAAAATTAAAGACTGACACATAAGATTCTTATGTACGTATCATTATGAATATATTAATTATATATTTGATTGTTCACAAAAATAGCATTTCAATTACATGATAAAAATTTAAAAAATTGTGATTAATATTATTCGATTATATTAAAAAAAAAAAAAAAATATTTACGGCTTGCTGCAAAGCTTCTACGTTGCATGGAGTCGGATCGCTTTGACACTTTCGACTGGTATTGAACTTCAAGCCGCGCATATTTTCTTCCATAATTCCTTACTTGTTTTAGGTTTTAATGAATTTATAGAACTCTTCACTCCAGGGAAGCTCAATAGGATTGAGTTTCGGAGAGTGACCCGCCGATCCATCATTTCGATATGTCTTTGCTGGAACCACAACTGCAAACTGCTGATGCAACCATTTCAATGGAATATTGTCCTCAGCATATGGCACCATAATGCCCTCAAGAATTTGTGTAAATACAAATTGATCCATGAATTTTTTTATTGGATATATGGGCCCCACGCCGTAGTATGAGAAGCAAAAGGGAGAAATATTTTGTGAAGCGATGAGAGTAAATGCAGAATATAACACTAAGTTTACCATAAAAGCGGTAAAACACGGGGGTGCAAAAATTATGGTTTGGGCATGCTTCTCAAACGATGGCTTTCGGTAGCACTTTTCTTTATGTTAAAGTAATGAAAAAGAACTCCCCGCAAACCACTATCTGGTTAAAATTTCTACACTTTCAAATGAATGAAACAAATTGTTGTTCACGCTACAACAAATGACATCTACTGAAAACGACGCGAAATGACAGTACCTTTGAAATGAATATAACCAGAAATAATATTAGTAGAGCCCTCTCTTAGAAAACCGCATGAATTAATGCATACACCTAATATGTCAATATCATCGAATAGCTTTTACAGCTCGTCGTTCTATCGTCACCGGTATTCGCCGTTGCCAATGCGTATAGGACCATAAATCGTTTTCAAAACTCTTCTCTCGAAGACTCCCAAAGCCGACTCATCGTCTCAGCGTCATATAGTAGAACGGGTATGATGAGCGACTTGTAGAGTTTGGTTTTAGTTCGCCGAGAGAGAACTTTACTTTTCAATTGCCTACTCAGTTCAAAGTAGCACCTGTTGGCAAGAGTGATTCTGCGTTGGATTTCAAGGCTGACATTATTATGCAGATTCCTAGATAGACGAAATTGTCGACTATACGACTTCAAAGTTATGAATGACAGTGGCGTGGGAGCCAAGTCCCGAAAGCTATGACTATTTGTTTGATCCCAGGAGATATTTCGTCTTGTCCTCGTTCACTACCGGACCCATTCATTCGCTTCGCTTCTTTATCAAGCCTGGAGAAAACAAAACTAACGGATCGGTTGTTCAGGCCCTTAATGTCAACATCATCGGCATATGCCAGTAGTTGTACAACCAGAGAAAAAACACCTCACGATGGCCAACTATTTTTTTTTTCCACTCTGCTCCTAGATCTTATTGAACAAATCTTGTATACGCCAGAGGCTAAAATAAACAATTACTGATTTTACCATCCGTGGTTAATTTCATTATAAGTTCATGCATTTTTATCGTTTTTTTTTTTTTTTTGAAATTTGGACACAATATTTTCCACATTCCACTAGAAATAAAAAAAATTGTTTTAATTAGATCGAATTTCGAAAATTTCCATATTTCAACTAAAAAGTCGAATTATTATTGTACGAAACTTGATTTTGAATAGAAGAACATTAAGCACGTTATAAATTCTACGTTTTTTTTTTTTTTTAGTTTTAATAGTACCCTTGGCGATATAAAACAATGGTTTTAGACCAAGTACACAAGAAAAAAAATTATGAAAATTAAAAACATTTCGAGTACCGCAAAAACAAGAGCTGATTGAGCAAAATCGGTGTCATTTTTGGATTCAGCGTGACCGAATTACGCTTAAAAAAATTACAGCAAACAGAATTTTTTTTTGGCGGACAGTTTTTTTTTTGACAGTGTTGAATTTTAAATATTTTTTAAATAATAAATAATAAAACGGATGCTCGTGAGCATTTTTACATCAACTACCGCATTGCTGGTTGTAAAATCCATTGCACATGAGTAAAATTTTTATTTGCACACAACATTTAAGCCGATAAATCAGTTTCTGGAACACCTAAAAGCGACACAAATTTTTCGATTTGCCTTTGTAGTTCTTCGCATAAAGGGAAGTCAAACCTTTTGGCTTTACAATTTTTTGCGATTTTAACAATTTTTGCATAAACTTAATCAAAACCGAAAGGGTCTTCTGAATTTTAAAACTTTACATATATACAGCTAACGGTATTACTCATACAATTACTCGGCAGAAATAAATACTTCCTTTATTTACTAAATCACTAACTTTATAATTTTTCAAAATTATTGTGAAAACTATGCTCCCTGGGTGGGTGCACATTTTTTATTTAGTGTGCAGATGATAGATATATAAAGTTGAAGATCTTTTTGGGTTTACTGTGTTATCGTGAAGGTTAAGTTTAGATGTTAAAAACATAGGTATGTTATATAATTTATTTTATATATTTTATATAAAATCCAATCTGAACATAGAAGAAATATACTAGAACTAATATTTTACTTTGTTTTATAATATTTATTTATTTGTTTGAAATATAATATAATTATAAATTATTCCATTTCAACGGTGCTTGCGTTAAACCAGTTGACCTTTTTTATTTTTGTAGTTAATACAATAAAAGTAGGTGTAATAAATAAAATTAAATTTTCACCGTTTTTTACTCTGTTACTATTAACTTTTGGCAAAACAGCTCCTATGCTTTTTTTTGGTTGTAGAAGCGAGAACGCTGTCTAATGTAATTCTTATATACATTTTATGTGTACTCAACGTGAACCAATATGTACCGTTTTCGGCTACCAAATATGAAGTTAGTAAGTCGACTGTGTAGCGAAAATGCCAAAAACAAAGCAGCAAAACATTTAAATGATCTCAAGAGCTAGGTTTTGCGATATTGCCATACCCGTTTGTATGTTTGTATGACCATTTGCCAACAGCGAAGCAAAGTTTTTCACAGTCTCACTCAGTGTCAACGATTCTTTCCCTCTTACTTGCATGTCTTCCACATTCAAGTAAATTTAGCGTTTTTTGTATGTATACAAATACACATTTAGTTATGTTTGTGAGTTGAATGTTTTTTGGTGCGTTTGTCTGGCTGTGGTTTCGTTCGTTGCTGTCACGCCGGCCCGTTTATTCACTTTTCTCGGCGCTCACTGCGCACACAGTACTCTGCATTCACTGTTCGTTGTCACCGGGGAAAAACTTTTTAAATAATCTAGTTAGCCTTGCATTCATTTGTTCAATTGTGAAAAATTATTAAAAAAAAAAAAAAGTTGATTAGAATTTTAATTAAAAATTTCGTTTCACTTCAATTTGTTTCGTTCACAAAAATTTTCTCTCAAAACAAAAAATAGCCAAAAATAAAAACTTGATTTGGAAATTGAATAAATAAATTTAATAGATATCAAAGCCGAATTGCTATTGCAAAGCACAAAGGAGCACAACAACCTTATACTGCGTTGGTACAAGAAAAAACGCTATTGTCGTATAACCTACTATACCTACATACACGAGGCCATCAAAGTCATCCAAAACAAAACACCAGTACAACAAAAACAAGATCGACAAGAAGAGTCTATCAGCTGTCTTGAAGTCGGCAACTGTTCAGACCAGCAATTGCTTCTACAATAAATCTTGTATTACGCCAACATTAAGAAAGAGGCCAGTGAAATAATTGTGAGCTACAAAGCTAAACAACGAAAGATCACTGTAACAGTTTCAAGTGGCAGCTTAAAAATCTGCTTCGGCGAGTTGAATATTTTTCGCGTTTGCTATTGCAGACAATATTCGCGGAGCGCAAAACTCACTTTCGCTTTTAGGTGTTGCCTATATATATATATATATATATTAATAGGTGCTCCGCCCTTTAGTGAAGTCCTCTCTTATCATTTTACGGTGCATACATTTGAATATATACGTCCCATGATGTTTCAAAGTGACTTTCATAGGAAGAAAAATTTTGCAAATCCCAATTTATTCAATGTAATATTTTTTGAATTTTATTTTTGTTGCAATGTTCCAGATTTATGACTACGGATTTGTTTGTAATTTCAGAATTCGACCGCTGCGGAAAAGCCTGCGCCCGCCGCAACACAGCCAACACCAGAAAGTGGTCGGCCAGATGTAAAAGATGATGGCAAGGAACAAGAAGAAGTGCGTACAGAACATCTTTTTAAACATCCACTACAGAATACTTGGACTTTGTGGTATTTAGAGAATGATCGCACAAAATCATGGGAAGATATGCAGAACGAAATAACTAGTTTTGATACAGTCGAAGACTTCTGGAGGTTGGTAATTAAAAATAAACTAAATGGTTTAGTTATTAAGATGTATTCGTTTACAATTTACAAGCTATAATTTTATACGTTGTATAGTTGTATTTGCATATAAAAGTTTTGCGTTGAGGAATATTGGCTGATATTTGCCTTTGAGTGGGCAAGAGGCAAAAAATATAATAATCGGTCGAAGGTTTTTTTTAAAATAATAATCAGTTGATCTCTTCAAATATGAGATGTGAATATCCCACCTATTATTAAAAGCAATTTCAGTACTTGATGACGTGCATTTTCCCTGACGCGATTTGTGTTTGTGTGAAAGTTTTTTAACAATTTGTCTAGCAGCCACCGAAAAACCGAAGGATTTATGTCATATCATCTATATGAAACTACCGCAATTAAAAACTATCAAGGTTCCAAAGACTACCACGGTCGAGTATAACAGAAGATTTTGAAGCTTTACTAGATCTGTCTACTATTACTACTACTACTTCTGCTACTACTACAGAGGCGATAATTGGAAATACACAGGATCTTTCTAACGTAATGGAGGTTTTCCTCTGCTTCTACCAGCATGTGCTTCATCGAATCGATTAAACACTTGAGTGCCTATTTTGTTGTGCAAATCTTAGTGCACTCATTTAGTTTTATCGATCGTCGAAAGAGTATTTTTCCCCACTTTGAAAACTAGGCAGCATGACTTCGCTTTATATAGGAGCTCTAAATGAAATAATCGTACTTGTTACTACAATAAAAAATTGATTTTCAAAATTTACACATGGATAGAATGGTACCCGTGGCGGTTGGCATATTCATGACTTCTCGGACTCATGGTGAACATGTGAGTGCAATCGGTAGCCCCAAGAGTGCCTCCAACAAAAGGGAGACGATGATGAGGCAAAAATTTCTCTTGCACCTTGCCGCTCTATTTGCATAATGGTAAATGTAACCTTCTTAGGTAACATCGAACGGTTGATTGCGTTTGTTACGCACTTAGTGACGATTGACTACTGGATATTCCCCATAGCTCTGCGAGACGTTGATACCATAGCATCCCGTTGCAACGAATCGCAAGGCGGTAGAACCTTTAAACATTTTAAAAGTGTTCAAATTGATAAAAATATCTAATGCTTATATTTTTACCAGTTTTTCCGTTGATAATGATAATCTTTTTTTTTTTGGGCGTGAAAAGGATCTTCCACTTCCCGAAGCAAACTTCTATCCAATGATGAAGGGTACGATACCTCATCATCTTGACATAAATCATATGCCAAATATTGAATAGCGTTATTGATTTTTATGTTTCTTTTTCTTTTTATATGATTTACATGATTCAATGCCATCAATGCCGATGGCGCTAAACACTTCAAAATATTCGTGGCTTAGGTAGCGATTTGTCGCGCAGTTTACGATAGCAGTGATAGTGAATGTCGTTAAAATAAGTACACCGAATGTTAATATACTTAGAGTTATCGCTAAGTCATTTTGACGATCCGAAAATCGTTATAGTACGATTGAGAATTATCCTACAAGAATATTCGAACAGAACTGAATACAATGCGAAACATAATATTGTACAGAGTCAGACAAGCCGCACTTAAGAAGAAGAGTTAACATAAAAAGGGAAGCTCTAAAAAAAAGCAGATTTAAAAAAGGCAAAATATCTGATCACCTTATTTTAGCCATTTTAAGTAACATAAAAATCATTGATATTCTTTGACATTTATATTTACAAATTAGACATAAGTTTCCTAAATTCACGGGTATTACAGCATAGAGTCGTCCGAAACCGAGTTTACAGATTAGGAGATTAAAATTTTCTGTTTAAATGTTCTGTTTAGTAAGAGTCAATAATGTAATTTAATTTCGCAAAAAGAAAAAAACAATTAAACTTTTTGGGCCACGAAGCTAAAGAAACAGTTCAGACCATTTTCAGAGATCTAGCTAATATCAGCCAAGCATCCTTCTGAAAAAATAAGAAAGGAATCTATGGTTTATTTGTTTAATTCAAAGTAACATCACGTTTTTGAAAATATTTTCTCACATTCATTGATCTTTTATAATCTTGCAAAATTTTTACTAGTCTTTCCGTCCTTTTGATTTTTCGTTTATCTTTACCCGTCAGGAAGTAAGGAAATGCAAACCAGTTTTGTAAATTGTGGGCTGAAGAATATTCGAACTGACTTTTTACTGTTTTGGTTGACATACAATATTTGTCAGCTTTTGTTTATATTAGTTTAAGAAATCAGAGATGAAAGGTAATTTACTACATTAGGAATTGGTTCCATTAAAGTATTAAAATTAGGTAAACAATCCCAAATGGTTTGCAGCAGTTTTTCGTTTTAAAAAATTTTAGAGCCTTTTTAGCTTGAACAGAACATTGCAAGATTTCATGAAAATGCTCATGAGGCTTGCGCAAAGTAATTACTTGCTATGCCCCAGGTATATAGAAGCTTATGGGTCATCTTGTTCGAACTGCCGCACTTTTGAGTAAAATAATGGCTTTCAAAAACATATCTTCGAGGTTAATTGCTATTAAAGTGTTGGATACACAAAGATACCAGTGATACTTCTTTCGCTTCGTTTAATCATGTGAGGATTAGTAAAAAAGTAATTTTTCACTAAACCAAGCTAAAAACAGCTAAACATTTCTCAAGAAAGCTAAAAATAAACTTAAGCTAAATTTAATTTTTTGGCTAAACAGGGAAAAATTAGCTACCAACTAGCCAAACTCACTAAATATGTATAAAAGTACTCTGTCGTTATAATCAGATAGAAATAAATCTTTTACTGACCATAAATATACGAATTTTCACATAAACCGCTGTATATTCATTGTTAGGTTAATTCCGAATTTCGATATTATTATTCATTGAATCTGACCATTCGTATTTTATTTAAATACATTTCAGTCTCTACAATCACATCAAACCACCATCTGATATCAAATTGGGCAGCGACTACTCGCTATTTAAAAAAGGCATCAGGTATATAGTCAAATGATTTTATTTATTTATTTATTTTTCTTTTCAAAAATATACATATGTATGTATGTAATTTTTCAGACCAATGTGGGAAGATGCTGGTAACAAACAAGGGGGCCGTTGGGTCATTACATTAAATAAAAGCTCTAAAACAGATTTAGACAACTTATGGCTCGATGTTGTAAGTACATACATTTAACTACGGATGTTTAATTATTTGTTTTTAAATCCAATTATTCGTTTTATACTTAGCTTCTTTGCCTAATTGGGGAAGCGTTTGATCATTCTGACGAAATTTGCGGTGCTGTGGTCAACATACGTGGGAAGAATAATAAAATTTGTAAGTTTAATTATTATGAATAACTGTGACTGATAATATGGTAAGAATGTAAATATATTCATTTTTTATTTGTGTAAAGCTATTTGGACAGCAAATGGTAACAATGAGGAAGCAGCATTGGAAATCGGAAATAAGCTGAGAGAGGCCTTGCGATTGGGTCGTCAAAATTTGCAATATCAGCTACACAAGGACACTATGGTTAAGCAGGGCTCGAGTGTCAAATCCATTTATACTCTTTAATAAATGTATGTACACCAGCTTGTGTGGACTAAGTTCTGCAGGGCAGATATTTCAGCTAAAAAATCTTCGTCAAAATGCTTAAACTGAAAACTTAAACGTCAAGAGCTTAAATATGAAACTTTTCGAGAATTGAATAAACATATGCGTGTTTTATTGTAAAACAAAAAGGAATTAAATCTAATAAATTTGATACAAAAAAATCTTTTTTCTTGACATTTTTCTCTGAATTTACTTCAAATACAATTAGCTAAAAGAACAGAGAGTAAGTGAATGAATGAGACTATTTCACAACTCCCGCCAGAAATTAATGGAATTGGCTCTGTTAGTCAACATTTTTGAGCAAAACAATAATAAATTTGCTCAGAAATGTCTCTGTATTACTATAATATAAAAATGTAATTTTCAAAATAAGTTATAATGTCGTGGATACCTTTGAGATATTGCATTAATAGTAATAAATTAGTTTTTGATCTAAAATGTATTCGAATATAATACGCATTCTCATGCGTAGACAAATAATTAGACGATGTGACGCTATTCCGCTTGTTGTGTCGCATTATTTTTTAACTACAACGACACATCTCAGTTCTGCCAGAATTGTCATAGGGTGTAATTTGCTTATTTTTCAAGTATTTGGTGTAATTAACCAAAGTTATGATTTATTTTCCGTAGAAGATTATCCATGTCGAATATCTTTCATGCCACAAAAATGTTTCTTCTGATAACAGCTTTACAACTTACCACGTCAACTGCAAACAAAGAAATTCAGCCCTCGTCATGCTTAGCGAAGAAAGGAAACAACCAGGGAAATGTAAAACAAACAGTCAAGAACAAAAATAGAGAGCAATATGTAAATTTGAAAAAATTCATTCGAAATAAAAGATAAATACTAAAATCTCCTTGTGACAATTGCCGTTATGAATATTCAAAATATTTTAACAAGGATAATAAAAAAATATTTCCTTATACTGAACATTACTATCAAGGAATTAATTAAAAAGAACCTTATTCCGCGGTTCTATCAAAATTTTTTAATAATTTGTACTTAAATAATTTTGTTATGTTTTATTGCACTGACTTAAGTCGAATTATATTTTTAGTTACAACGATTTTTTTTCAGCAATAACTACCCTGCAAGAACGGGCTGATGGGTTCACCAATAAACCCACACGATTTCGGGCAGCACTAATACATAAGCAAATTCCTTTGTTTATCTTTCTCTTCGAACTACATACAAATTGAGAGAGGACACAGTTGAACGGTAGTTTTATTTTATGCCCTTATATTCAGGTAGAACGCCATTTCTATCGTTTTCTACGAATCAGTTAACAGTGAAAAATATGGATAGGGATATTATACAACCTGTGCTAGTAACATTCATTACTATTTACATTGTTTTTATTTAAGGGCACTATATCTTGTACGAAAAAATTGTGTAATGCAGCAGGTTGACCGGAAGACGCTGCTCATCTTGCAGCAGTAGCAGAATATTAAATTTTGTATTTATACTTCAAAGGAGCTGCGTTTATGACGGAGGCGTTTGTGGTGCTGCGTCGCCAACGCATGACGCTACTAAAGACCTCTATATATGCGGTTTTGCTTATAATATATATTTTGTTGATTTTTGAAAACGAATATATTATTCCTTTTCTGTGCTATATAAACCATATACTTAATTTAAGTAAAAACATTGGAATAAAGACTGAATCTTAATAATTTTTGTATGTACAGTGGCTCATAGCTTAAGTAATGCAGCTATCTAAAAAAAATAGGATAATAAGTTGTATCTGAATCTTAAATAAATTTTCTAAAACACATGAATGCCAGTCAATAGCCGCAGATATACACATTTCATTGATACCTTAAAAATTTTCGACGATTTTTGAATGCAAAATAAATACCGCTATAACCGCGAGGAAACTTGGTGTATTTTGAAATAATTTTAACATTATAGTATTGACATTGTGTGAGTGTAGATCAAAATTGGTCGCGAAACAAGTATTGAAGTAATCGAGTTAATCCTAAAACATTATAAAGATGGTAAAAGTCAGCGTAAAATCGCGGAAATGGTGAAAATGAGCCAAGGAACTGTTCGGCATATCATTGAATGCTATGTTCGTGAAGGTCGTTTGTTAAAGTGTTAAATAAAACTAAAACGGCTCATAATAAAATATTTAACGAAAGCAAAATACGCGAAACCCCATCTTAAGTGCTCCAGCTTTAGGCAAAGAAGTGCTAAAATATCTTGGAAAAAGCTGTAACCCAGAATCTATACTCTATAAAAAGAATTCTCAATGTCAGTGCTAAAAATCAAAGCGCAGGGCTGAAGTTCGCAAAGGACCATTTATATAAAGATAAGGGTTTCTTGAACAGCGTAATTTTGGCGGACGAAAGTAAATTCAACCTGTTTAGATCTTATGGAAAGAGTTATATATGGAGAAAACCAAATGCTGCGTTACAACCGCAAACTTGACGCATCATTGTAAAACATGGTGGGGGGGGGTGTAATGGTATGGAAATGCATGTCGTCTTCTGGAGTTGGAAATTTGCATTTCATCAATGATAGTTAAAAAGAAGAATTGATACCAAAAGAAAACAATATAAACGTAAAAAAACAGCAGAAGTGCCGTACAAGAGATGAGTGACAGCATTGATGCAGAGGGAAATCAGAGTTGACAAAAATTTTCTTTACATATATGTATATATACATATGCTTTGGAAGAATTTTCCATACATATATACATACATACAAACATTATTAAGATTCAGTCTTTGTTCCACAAACGCTACGTCATAATCGCAGCTCCCTTGAAGTATAAAGACATCTAAGTGGAAAAAAATAATGTGTAAATAATAGTGTTATTAGGCCTAAATGCAGTTTTATTGAATATTTTTAAATCTGCTACTGCAGCAAGATGAGGAGCGTCCATTACAGTCAAGCTACTCCATTAGCTGATCTTTCCGTACGACATGCAGTGCTCTTAAATAAACAAATGTAAAAAGCAAAGTAAAATTAAGTACTTAATTAATCCGAAAATATATTATTACCATAGGATCCTGATCATGTACAATATTTTCCACTTCTATCTACTGCGGAGAAAAAGATAAAAAAATGGCGTTCTACTCGAAAATAAGAACATAAAATAACACGTATAATCCGCTCAACTGCATTCTTCTTCAGTTTGTATGTACTCAGAAGAGAAAGATAAACAAAAAAATGTGCATATAGGTCAGTGCTGCCCGAAATCGTGTGAGTGTATTGGTGAACCCACCAGCCCGTTCTTGCGGAAATCATATGTTGCAACCGGCACAGTGACGATAATGCATTCTTAAGGGGTAAAGCCACTCTAGGATTTTAAAAAACGCATTTTTGTTTTGTTCCCAGGGTACCTTTTGGTCCTTGAAATGATATACAATTTGTTTTTAAAGTAAAAAAAATATTTCAAATGGATCAACTTTTTAATGAAAAGTTCGAACCCCTTATTCCCAAAATCACATTTTTCCAACTGGGAGGACAGATTATTCGGACTCTATTACGTCGATTTATCTGAAATTTTATGGTAACTTTACACATATGAGTGCATTTTTTTGGAAGTACGTAGCCGTTTTTAAAATAAATATAATTTTGTTTCTAATAACTTAGGGCGCAGTTTTTAGCCAAAACTCTTGTGTACCGCTTTCACCAATATTAGTAAAGATATAAATCCGCACGTACTTCCAAAGACCACAGCTTTTAGATCATAAAACTTTTTGCTTTTCTGTAATAGGTCTCATCCTCTAAAAGAAATCGGTCCTCCCGTGGACAGCTTTCAAAAAATATAAAAAGAATATTTTTTCCTTCTAAACGCCACATACAGTTAAAGACAAAAGTTTAAATACACCTATAAATTTCCACTTTTTATTAAAATTAAGCTATTTATAGTAAATGTATGAATCCATTTTTTTAAAGTAGATAATCAATCAACAATTCAATCCAAAAAAATGTTCAAAGTCGCGTAGATAACGGTAAATTCATTAAAAACATGAAATCACACGGAACAAAAGTTTAAATGCAACCAAAAAAAAAATACTCGTATGTGCTTTGAAAGTTGTTTAGAAATAAAGTACCGTTATATTCAATTATTTAGCAACTTATACACATTTACCCGGTATTAGATGCGACTTCTTCTCCAACCTCCACGCAAAGTAAAAAATGGGCAAAGAAAAAGAGATAGAGAGTGGTGTTAAGAACTTGTTTAAATATTTTTAAGAAGGTAAATCTTACCGAGATAAAGGAATATTGTTCGAAAGTAAAAATCTACAAATCTGTTGGAAATAGGACAAGATCTAGACGTCCAAGGAAACTATCCTGGCGAGATGTTAGTTTTCTCACGAAGAAAGTGACAAAAAATCCTAAAATAAGTGCTCCAAAGATAGGTGACAGCATCGCTAAAATATTGGACAAAAATGTACATCCAAAAACTATAGCAAGAACTTTGCAGAAAGATAGCTATCGAAGCAGAGTTCCATGTAAAAAGCCTCTAATATCTGAGAAAAATAAGCAAGAATTCCTGTTTACGGGCGAATCGAAATTTAACTTATTCGGAAGCGTTGGATGCGTAAAAATTTGGTGTAAACCAATGACAGCTTATCAAATTTAGTAGAAATCGTTAAGCACGGTGAGGGTAGCGTAAAGGTTTGGGGAGCAATTGGAGCCCCTGGCGTAAGACATTTAACGTTTATCGATAGAATAATGAACACATAACATAATTATTTTGGATCAGCAAAAGCAGTCTTCCGTGGATTCCTTGACCATACATTATAGTCCGCGTCAATCATCAGATTTGAACCCCAATGAGCATATTTGGGAGTTATTTTCACAAAAATTGCTATGGCGTCTTCAAACAGCAAATAAGCCTTGGAAGAATATCTGAAAAAGGCATAGTCTGGAATTGCGCCATCGGAAAAAGAAAATCTGGTTAAATGTACCCCGCGTCGACGAAAGGCAGTTATAGTAGCATATGGTGGACCAACAAAATATTAAAACTGTTATAAGCCTCTTTATTTTTAGTCAAAATATGAAATAATATGTCCCTCGTGATTTAATGTTTTCAATGAATTTCCCTTTATTTACGTAACTTTTAATATTTTTTCGGATTGCATTGTTGATTAATTATGTACTTTAAATAAACTGCATACTTACATGTACTGTAAAATGCTTAATTTTTACAAAAAAGGGAATTTTTTTTAGGTGTATTTAAACTTTTGTCTTTGACAGTATTTCATTTTGTGCATCATCGTCGCTTCTGGAAGCTTAGGGGTTAAGCCGCTCTATAGGTTTCAAAATAGACTACATTTTAAAAAACTTTTTGTAGAAATATGGGAAAAGGAATGGAATTCCTATTTAATCATTTCCCTGAAAATATATATAAGTAAATTATATATATGTATTATATATAACTGGCGCTTTGTAACCGCTGAAGCGACTTTTGGCCGAGCTCCTCCTCTAATTTGTGGGTCTTCGTCTTTATGTTTTTCCAACAAATGCAGGGACCTACAGTTTATACTACGGCGTCTCCGAACAGCTGATGGTTTTTTATTAGGAGCTTTATTTCATGTCGGAAATCCAGTCGGAAGAGTTGACATTCCCTTCTAAGCGGCGACCGCAATTAGAAAACTTAACTTAATTTTTTATCTAAATTTATTTTCTTTAAGTTTTTGGATGTTGCTCACACCAGGATTTGCAACTTCCGAACGGCAGTACGCAATACTATCCACTCGGCTACCGCGGCCGCCGTAAGACATCTTACTATCTCAATTTCGTTACTGGCTAATTTTTACTGGCATTTCTCAACAAGCACAACCATAGTAAAGGGTGATTTTTTACGAGCTATAAGAGAGTTTTCAAAAAAAAAAAAAATATATAAAATTTAGAAAAATGCATTAAGTCTTTATTTGAATCGATAGTACGGTCCATTTAATTGAATGTTTGAAGATTATTTCATGCAAATGTTGACTGTGACTGCGCCTCAAATGGTTCATCCGTTAAGTCTAATTTTGGCGTACTCTTTCCAACATTTCGGTCGGTATCTTAAGAATAAGTACTTCAATGTTATCCTCCAATGCGCGAATTGAAGCGGGCTTGTTAAATCGCACGATATAGGCGACCAATTTACCGGTACAAAACGTGAAATAAAATGTTCTCCGAATTCGCCTCTCGCTAAGTCTATTGTTACGCGTGGAGTGGCAATTAAAAATATACAAAATATGTTAAAAAAAATAATTAACATAAAAAACTTGCTCTCCGACGGCGGTCGTTGTTGTTAAGAATTTATGATAAAATAGAGCATCGTCAAAGTTTGCATAGTTGCTTTAGGAATGCGTGACAATGTGAGGTTGCTTTGCAACTGAAGTTTTGGAACTCACCCTCTCTTTTTCCAAATAAATATATATATATTTCGATTACAACTTATATATTTTTCTTCAAAAACAATTTTTTTGTGAACTTATCTTTTATTTTTATTATATTCACAACGATCAAACTAACCAGAAGGTATGTAGAACTTGGTGAAAACGAAAGTGTCACAGCAGCTTATCTTGCGGTTAGCTGTCTTCCTGTTAAGTTAATGGGATAATATGAAAACGGGCCTAAGTGATAGTTAAGCTTCTAAACAATCAGCTATTCAAAGTTCCTTCATTTGGCTTTGCTACCAGCTCAGAAGTTCAGTTTCGAACATAAGTCACCAATATACTTGAAAGACGCAATCATCGCCATATGAAATCAATAAAATCCAAGATGTAGACATTAAGTAGCAGCGGCGGAGAAAACCATCTTGAGCAACCCCTTGTTCAATCACAAAACTATCGATATTTGACCTCTAAACTACCGTTAATTTTCGATCATTCAGGAAGCACATGGGCCACCTCTTCAAGGTCGACTGTTGTTGTTGTTTTAGTAGCGATTCGACGATAATGAGGTGTCCTCAATGTACAATAGTAGCCCAGAATACTCTACGGTGCCAAAAGCTTTTGACAGATTCTTGTTGGCTAGATTCACAGGTTTTAGTAGTGGACGTCCCTACCCATTTTACGCACGTTGAGTATTATTGGAGCTTAAAACAAATTAAGATTCTAGTGAGATAGTCTGCTCCAGCTGTTTTAGTTTATTCCGTCGGGTCCAATGTTGATGTTTGGCAGTTTGCGCAGACGGCGGGATACTTCTCGCTTTATTTTGGGACAGTGCAGTATGAAATGTCGGCTAAAGTAGCTCGGGCACCTCTTCTGGTCCGACGAGACTTGACAGGACAATAAAATTTCCACTCAGTCATCGCATTCTGTCGGCTTTGACAACGATTTCACTACGGCTCAAATCTAGGTTGTCCCAGAAGTATCAACTTGAAGCCTGATATCCCAATGAAGGTGTTGTCTAACTTTTCATTGTTCGGTGTCTTGGGTGCCTCCATATTTTCGTTAAACGTATATTTTTACTATTATTTGAATCGTTGATTTAATTCAGTTAAACTTCAAAAAATTACATTTGCTTAGTTTTTTTATAGCATTTCATTCATATTCCTTTATTAAGTTTTATTGTTGAATAACTACGCTCCCTTGGTGCAAATTTTACTGGCTTTATAAAATATAGTAAGGCGAAGATCATTTTCCGCGTAAACTTTTAAATGTTAAAACATTAGAATGTGAACAATTTTCAATACGCTATAATATCATCTATCTTACGACGCAAATCTTTACGACGAGAATTTTCCAAGGCATCTTTTATCATACGCAAATGCATTTTTGGATCGTTGCAATTGTCTTCTTCGAATATTTTTAATACTTTATATATACGAGTATTCAGTTCACGTGGATACTGTAGCTCAATCTCATCCATAGTACCTTCACGAATTCCTAGTTCACGCCCGAACATTCGCCAATGAGAACCCAAATGTTCGGAAATCATCTTATAAATTGCTGCACGCTTTTGTTCTGTTAGGGTATATGGATAGAAGTTTTGGTTATTATTTCCAGAGCATGTGTTCAATGGTGTTCTAATTGACGAAGTGTGCTTGCTATCATCTTGGCAAATATTTCTATGTTGACCATTAATAGAAAGTTTATGGGCAAATTCGTTTGTCAAATGCATGTCGTGGTATTGATTAACGCCTTTATTTGCCTATAAATTCAATGGATATTAAAGTGACAATGATTGTTTTTCAAAATATTTACATTGGTAGGAGGTAAGTAGTTCGATACAGCCTCATCCAGATACTTGTTACCTAGGAGACACAGCGGTTCAACATTTCTCTCGGAAATTACATCTTTACGTTCAAGACAATCAATTAAATCACACACGGTACGAATACATTCGTAGCGACGTGGAGAAATAATATCGTTGCGAAACAAAGATTTCAATTCCGTGACAAAATCTAGTGAACATGGCTCTCTCAATGCGATTTCCTTAAGTGTATCATAGGAAATGGCCATATCCATTCCAGCGATTTTCTTCAAAAAGTTTGCTGTTGATAACAAAAAACACTGATTCAGACAATAACATCCTTTTCAATTACCATAACTAAGAGTAGTCAACAACTGCTAACGATAACATATAATATCGAAGTGTCGAGGAATATCGGTAATCGCTATTATGGTCAAATATATAATTTTCGACAACGAATTTCATTATTTATATGCTTGAATATAAACGCAAGCCAAATAGACTTGATCTATATGGTAACAAATAATTAGTTACGCATTAAGTTTTTACTTTTTTGAAAAAAACTATGCATTATCTTCGAGTATTTAATATTACTTTAAGCTAAATTATACACCAAACTTGTATAGCAACTCAAAATCAGCCCAGCCGGTTTTATGGAAAAATTCAAATCGCCGTTGGTTTCTGCGGGACAACCGTTATTAATGGCATGGGCAAGCGGTGACAACTTTGTATTTTCATTGCGCTCTCATAAGATAGGTTGGTATGGATGGAAAGTACGTGAGCTGGGTAGTTGCAGCATAAAACTGGTCTTTGACTTCAGTAGGGCAATTCTCTATCGTATTATAACGATTTTCGGATCGTTATAATGACTTAAAGATAATTTTAACGATTTTGCTATTCGCTAAGCACAGTATAACGATTTTCGGATCGCAAATTAGACTTAGCGATATTTTTAACGATAATCGCTATTCTCTAAAATGGTATAACGATTTTCGGATCGCAAAGAAGACTTTGCGATAATTCTAACGATTTTAATATTCGGTGTACTTGTTATAACGATATTCGCTCTCGCTATTGTCGTAAACTACTCGAAAAATCGCTAACTAAGCGACGAATATTTTTAAGTTGTTAGCGATATCGACAAAATTTTGTTATTTCATTTAAGAGAGTAAAGTGTCCGGGAAATTGTCAAAGTTATACAAAAATAAAAATAAAAAAATAAAAGAAATGGTTTTGAATATTTGGCATACGTTTTATCACAATATGACGAGGTATCCTAATCTTCATCATTGAATAGAAGTTTGCGTCGAGAAGCGGAAGATCCTTTTCATTTGGATGCTACCGAGTTTCGCCGGATTTAGTTGAAGAAATCGTTTCTGAACTAGATTGTCAACTAAAAGGAAGAAGAATAACAGCATTGTCTACGGAGAAACAGGTAATAATATATATTTTCAATATTTTTTTTAGTCTTAACACTATTATAATGTTTAAAGGTTCTACCCGCCTCGCGATTTTTTGCAATGGGCATGTCCATGAGTCAGTCGTCAGTAAACCGTTGTGTTCATCGCGTAACAGACGCAATCAACCGTTCAAGGTTTTCTGTTAGTTTTCCAAATTTTTGCTTCGTCATCGTCACCATATGTTGGAGGCACTATTGGAGCTATCGATTGCACATGAGTTAAAAATCATGAAGAAGCGTATATAAACCACCATGGATACCATTCCATCAATGTGCAAATGGTGAGAGTAAATTTGTTTCCGATTACTATTGTAGTAACAAAGTTAATTATATTTTCACATAGATATATGGTCCTTATCGCAAGATTATACTGGCAAATGCCAAGTACCCAAGAGCGCGGCACAATTATTTTATTTGGAGCTCCCCTATAGAGCGAAGAGTCATGCATGAAAGTGCAAACCATAACATGCTATTGAAAAACTTTGTAATGCATTGCTATTCTTTTAATTAAAATAATTTCAATAACAAATTTATTTGTTTTTGTCATTCCTCTTTGTGCTTTTCGTACATTTTGACGTTTCGTTGAGCTGTGGTGCCACCTTTCCTACATTTTAATAAAATGGAAATGTGCGATGTCGATTATCGTAACAACTGTGTTAGAGAATCGCATAATCGTTAGCGCAAGCGACAAAATTCGTAACTTTGCGATCCGACAAATCGTGTCGATAAAAGTTACAGAATTGCACTGCAGAATTATTGCATGGGCGTTCCGTACGGACAGTTAACCTGTTTTCAAAATAATTTATATTACTGCCATAAGAGGAGATGTGGTGATCTCCGAAACAGCTGTCACTTCTACCATTTTTTCTTTGTTGTATAACAAATATTGAATTCATACAAACAACAAGGCCTCGTTGTTTACTTAATAAAAATTAAGTTGTTTTTTGTTTTTATATAAGTTTTATTCGTTGACTAGATGGGCAGTAACAATTTTTAGGAAACTCTGCTGAATTAGTACCAAGAGAGCGCAATAATTTCAACGTTTGCAGGCCTATTCTGTCGAGGTAACAAAATTTACCTAGGTATCAAAATTTACCATTCAGTAAATTTCATTACCATTTCGTATTCTGAGCTCACTGTTACCCTGTAAATTTTATTACCAGCGAAATCGGAGGTAACATAAATATTTGCTGTTTGATTTTGTGTTGTAAGTTTTAGAAAAAATTAAAAACCGAAATGGGTAGGCATATTCTAGGCCTGGATTTCATTGAAGATGAGGAATAAATTGCAAAATGCCGTATGTTAATAAGTTTCCGAGACTAAAAAATTTGTAAGATAACGTTTTCATTCAGCTTTTTTTGTTGTCCAGGAATATTTTCCAAAATTAAGTTCAAATATTTATGATTCATTAAACAAATTAATAAAACTTTATAATTTTTTTGTGCACCGTCTTCCATTTCGATGTGAATATTTTTCTTTTCACTTTATCAACTGGCAAATGTAATTTGACATGGACGAAAAAACAGTGCTGCCAAATTTTTTTCAAACATTTTAACCAGTTCGCCAGAATACCAAATTCAATTTCGAGTGTTAAAGAAAAGTAACAAAATTTACTTACCGGTAACAGTGAGAATAGGCCTGTTAGAGGACTTTTTGGAAAAATATATTGATACTTTTATCGTTGGACGGCTATAAAGTTTTCACAATGTCCGATTAACTTAATATGCATTTCCACGACGGCCCAGTTACGTGTTTCGCTCTCTCAATCACGAATGCGAATTACCCCATCAACGCAGTTCGACAGTTTTCGGTTTCGCTTCTTTGTTCCATTTGAAAACGTATGGAAAACGAGAGATTTTAGTAGAAATTAACAAAATCTTGAAATCTTCTCTTATATACAAATAATCTTTGGTTTCAAATAAATGAATTGGTGTTTTATTTTAAGATTTTCATCTCTTTTGTTTTGATTTGCCAGCTCGTTTACATAAATTTTCGATAAGAATCAGAGGAGGCATCGATTTGGTCGTAATTCGCATGGCAATTGAGAAAGAATCAACCAGTTTTACTGTAATTCCCTCACGAAAATTTGAATGAAGAATTAAATAATTCGGCATGATTTTGAGTGCGAATTTCGATTGAAAGAGCGAAACACGTAATTGGGCTGTAGTGGAAATGCCGTATAACATTCAACCAGAGGAAAGCTAATCGTCAGATAGACTGAAGTGAGATTTTCGTTCTAGTTTCTTAACTTTCCGTTCATGTCGACACGATTTGTTGGATCACAACGCACATTCTCAAGTTATTAAAATGAAGCAAAGGTGGCACCACAGCTGAAAAAACGTTGAAATATGCGAAAAACACAAAGAGGAATGACAAAAACAAATAAATTTGTTATAGAAATATTTATTCTTAAATGAATAACAATGCGATTTAAAGTTTATCTAACCAAGAACATGTTGTTATTTGCACTTTCATGCATAACCCTTCGCTCTATAGAGTAGCTCGAAATAAAATAATTGTGCCGCGCTCTTGGGTACTTAGCATTTGCCGCCATAACTTGCGATAAGCATCACATATATATGTACAAATATAATGTACTTTGTTACTTCAATAGCAATTGAAAAAAAATTACTCTCATCTCTTGCACGTTGGTAGAATGGTATTCATGATTTCTGGAACTCATGACTGACACACGAGCGCAATCGATAGCCCCAATAGTGCCTCCAACAAATGGCGACGTAATGGAATATCTATCTTTCGCAAGAAACATTGAACGGTTGACTGTTTCTTTCACGACTGACTTATAGGTATTCCCTATTGCTCTCCGACGGACGTTGGTAGCATCAAGTTGCAAAGAATCGCAAGGCGGCTAGAACTTTTAAACATTTTAATAGTGTAAAAAATGAAAAAAACTTTAAACGTTATATTATTACCTGCTTCTCCGTTGATAATGTTGTTATTTTCTGCCTTTTAGTTGGCTATCAAAAAACTCAGTTGCATTCAACTTCCCGTAGCCAAAATCCATCCATATTGGGATAAAACGTATGTCAAATACTCAGAAGCTATTTTTTTTGTAATTTTATTTTGATTTTCATAAAACTTAAGCATTTTCCCGATTAACTTTACTTTATTTCAACCTTAATGAAATAATATTTTGTCGATATCGCTAAGAAATTCAGAGTATTCGTCGCTTAGTCAGCGATTTATCAAGAAGTTTACGACAACAGCGAGAGGGAATGTCGTTAAAATAAGTACACCGAATATTAAAATCGTTAGAGTAATCGCTAAGTCTTTTTTGCGATACGAAAATCGTAATGCCATGCTTAGAGAATAGCGAATATCTTAAAGAAAAAATCGCTAGAAGGCCTATTATGTTGAGGTAGAGTAAATGGAACTGGAGGAAAATGAAATTGATGGAAATATTCAAACTGTGCGAGCAACAACTATCCGCAACGAACTCTTTCGAGAAGCCGAACGGATTCGTGCACAATTGAAGCGTGAAGAAGTATTAAAAAAAGTATTTTTATTATATCATAAGTTCAGTCTTCATTGTTTTTATATTCATATATAAACTACTAACTAAAATGTCTTCTAGAAAAACAATTAAAAAACTTATAGCAATTCATGTGGTAAAAATAAATAAAAGATTCGCTTGTGTTGCTAATAAAAAAAAAACTAACTACAGCTTATTGGCTAATTTGGAGATTGCATTGCCCAAAATCTCCAACCCTTTCCCCATTTGCATGCTATCTTCTGTATTGATGCTCATCTCTGTGCCTTTGAGACTGCATACCTTCAGCCATCATCTTATAAATCGCATCCTTTGTCACTTTTTGTTGGAAACATTGGGTTCTACGGTTAACGCGGTTGGCGATTCGATCAACGTTTCCTCAAACAGGTATGCTTCCTCTTCGCTTAGTGGTGATGGAGTCGCTGGAGTTGTGAATGTGCCCTAAGCAAGTAGAAACTTAAAGTTTTATGTATATTTAACAAATGGCAAATGATTTACTTACAGGAAGAGCCAAGGTTACGCATTCCAATCCATTGACTGCACCCATGCCAAATGCAGAAAGAGCTTGTTCATCGAACTCTCATAACTCTTCGTTTGAAAACAAACCTCCGCCAGTGCGCAAGCGTTCTGCTTTGATCTTGGGAGCCCGAGCGCGGAGCTGTTTCTTCCAGTTGCTTAAAGACTACAATGGAAAAATTTATTGTTTGATAATATAAACAAAATATAATATAATGTTTACCTCTTTCCATTTTGCGGCAGTTTTATTCGACCCATAAAATGAATTTAAATTAAGGGCTACTTTGTCTCACAATCTTTTCTGAGCTTGGGGATCATTTGGTGTGTTCTTCCCGCTTAGTATCTGTCGATTACTTTGTATGAATTCTACATACGCATTTGTGGTCCTGGCGTATTTTCTATAATTAGATTCCATTATTTATGATTTAATAAACAAATAAATAAAACTTACTTATATTGTTTCGCTCCGTCCATTTTAATGTATGTATCATTTTATCTTACCAAATGGTTTTACTTTACCAAATGTTGTAATTTGACAACAACAAAAAAGCAGTCCTGCCAAATTTTTCTCAATCATTGTAAACAGTTCGCCAGAATACCAAATTCAATTCCGGGTGTTAAAAAAAGTAACAAAATTTACTTTACCGGTAACAATGAGATTAGGCCTGTAAGTCTTATTTGCGATCCGAAAATCGCTATACTGTGCTGAGAATAGCGAAATCGTTAAAATTTTCTTTAAGCCATTCTAACGATCCGAAAATCGTTATAATACGATGGAGAGCTCCCCTACTGGTTAGTTTGATCATTGTGAATTTTTTAAAACTGTATGATCAAGCAAATACCAAGCTTACATTTTTAAGATCTTCGGTTTTTATTTTATTTTTTTATTTTTTGTGGTTATGGCAAAAACTGTAATCTAAAGAAATTTATTTCATTTATTTTTATTTGGGAAAAAGTTCTTTGATGGTTTGAAATTACTTGTATAAAATGTATGTAATACTCACCTCAGATATGTTTTCGTCGGCATCATCCAAGCTAGAGTCATTCTAAATATCAAAATTGTGCAACACTCTACAGGCAACAGTAATTAATTATGGGAAAAGTGTCGCATAGCAACAGACACTTTATTCACGACGCGACTTGCAGTCGCCTCGCTTGCTTCGCAGAAATCCGCAGCACAAATCAAAAAACTTCCCGATGCATAAAAGCGCAGTGTTAAAAGCAACATTGCGCTGGCCTAAGTGCTTGATTCCTGCAATTTATGTTTACTCCAAGCTTATTATATTCATAAACCTTTCAGTGCGGTTTCTAATTTTATTTTTTAGTTTTTCCAAAACGTATTTTGCACTACTTTTGGAGAGACGAAATCTACGAATAAAAGCTACTTCGTCCTATTTCTCAAAAAAAAAAAAATTGTTTGTATACGGCGCGTTCTTTTCCGATAAATACGCCTCTGGATCAACGCAGCCAGATAGGCAGTGCGCTCCATGTATTCCATAATCAAATAGTTTTTAAAGCCAACACCGGAGCACTATTTTATTTATTATTTTACAATTTCCAGCAGTCAAATTATCTTCTGGTTAAGAGCTAATCGCTACACAATGTTAAGTTAACCGCAACTTAAGTTATGATTAAGCACAAAAAATTTTGAATACAATAAGTAACTTAAAAACGTCACATTTCCATGAAAACACTTCGGAAAAGACAGCGTATGACAGATATTATTTATTTACATATTTTCAAACAATTTGCTTAAAAGCACTGCAAGAACGGGCTGATGGGTTTATTACTTATGTGTTATGTGTAGCTAATAGAAGTGGGAAAAATGGATAAAATTCTGTACAAGCTGTGGTAATATTATAATATAATATATTGTTGATTAATGACCTACCTCATTTTTTAATGCTCTTTACAGCTTTTTATTTAAGGCACGTCATATTGTGCGGAAAATTTAGCTAATGGAGCAGTTTAACTGGAATGGACACTTCTCACCTTGCAGCAGTAGCAGATCTTAAAAATATTCAACAAAACTTTTCTACATACATTTGCATTTAGATATTAATAACATTTCGATTCAAATATTAATTAATTATATATTACTTAGAGGTCTTTAAAGTTCAGAGGAGCCGCAAATATGACAGAGGAGCTGAGGATTTGCGTCCCCAACGCATGACACTATTAAAGACTTCAACAAATACGGGTTTGCTTACAATATTTTGCTGATATATTGTTATTTCTTCTTTCTGTTTTTGTTCGACAAGAATGACGATAATGCACAAGGAAGCGAAGAATGAAATTATTATTATTTGGAAGTAACAAAGTTCATTATATTTGTACATATATATGTGATGCTTATTGCAAGTTATGGCGGCAAATGATAAGTACCCAAGAGCGCGGCACAATTATTTTATTTCGAGCTCCTCTATAGAGCGAAGGGTCATGCATGAAAGTGCAAACAATAACCTGTTTTTGGTTTGATAAACATTGTTATTCATTTAAGAATAAATATTTCTATAACAAATTTATTTACTTTTGTCATTCCTCTTTGAGCTCTTGACAAATTTTAACGTTTTGTTAAGCTATGATGCCACCTTCCCTTCAATTTAATAAAATGGAGATGTCCGTTGTCGGTTATCTCAAAAACTAAGTTATAAAATCACATAATCGCTAGGGCAAGCGACAAAATTCGGAACTTTGTCATTCGACAAATCGTGTCGAAAAAGTTGCAAAACTGCTCTACAGGATTTGAACCCGAGCCTTCCGAATGGCAGTACGCAATGCTAGCCACTCGGCTTCCGCGGCCGCCAAATAACTAATTACATGTGTAAAATTTATCACATCATGTCGTTGTTGAGTGTCGCCTAAAAAACAGTCCATAAATTCGTCTTGCTTAAACCGGGGGTTTAGGCAACTATTATTGAAAACATTGCTGTCAAGGCCAGAACCAAGCTATCTGCATACAGGATCCGCTATTTCCATTTCACAATACAAACAGCTTGTTTCGAAAAATCAGCACATTCGCAAATGATAGTGTTCTGAATTTCCTCGTTGTTGTTTTTGTAACCACTAAAATATTCCCCAAATTAGTTTTTAACCTGCAGGGAATCTCAATTTCCTTGCTTGTTTTCGTTGTTATGAATGATTCGACAAGTGCAGCAATAGCTGTGGACATTGTTTACTACACGACTTGCATACGCAAAAATCAACAACACAAATTAAAAAATTTCACGATCCATAACAGCGTAATATTAAGAGCAATATTTTTACTGGCCTAAGTTCCTACCGAATCAAATAAAATATCAGCAATATTTATTTACTCCAAGCTTATTATATTCACAAACCTTTCAGTGCGGCTTCTAATTTTACTTTCTATTTTTTCCAAAACGTATTTTTCTCTAATTTTGGAAAGACGAATATCTCCATATGTTGGATATTTTTTTACACATCAAAGAAATTTATTTATTGAATCCGCCTAATTTAAGCCTAATAATAGTTTTATAGTCTTAAAACTGATAAATTACTGATTTCGTACATTAATATCAATGGACGTCAGATAAAACGTTCAAAACCCTGGCAGATCTCTTCTTCGAAGGCGAGTTCGACTTGCTAGGATGGATAAAACATTCGCTAGAGCATTCAGTGTCTACCATTGGTATTTTAAGGTCTCTATGAATGTTTTCATTGCGCATATACCAAGGCGCACCTGTGAGGTATCGTAGCGTGGTTGAATACTACTTGCATACATACATACATACATCCATATTGCCTTTATGACAGAATTATATAGAAGGATCTTTTGATCCAAGCATAACCCCGAGTTTTTAACAAATAGTCTAGCGGTTCTAAGTTCGAAATATGGCTCTTCCAGGTGAGTCGTCTACCTAAGTGGATGTCGAGATATTTAACTTCGCTTGCTTGAGAGATCATTACGTTGTTAAGTTTCAGTATAGGGCATGTTTCTGTCTTTAGAGTGAATGTTACATGCTTACACTTTTTCTAGTGTGACTGATGCTGCGTCTACGAATGTTGAGGAGCTAAAGCCTTTGCGCGTGTTGGAATATCTGCAGTAAATATAACATCTATAGTAAAATGTTTTTAGCGAAAACCGAATTGGTTCGTGGAGAAAAGGAGATATCTTGGATAGCAGCACTTTTTAAAAAAGTTTGGAAAAAACGGGCAACAAGCTTATTTGCCGATATGATGAGTGCAACGTTGCATCCTTTCCGGGTTGGCTATCCCAATGATCTGCGACTTTTCCCACGCATTCAGAAAATATCCAAGTTCAAAGACGGCATTAAAAAGTTGAGTCATTTTGTATTGTTATGTGGTCGTATCCAGACGACTTTTTGGTATTTAACGCTTTTGCTTTGACTTTTATCTCAGATGAGGTCGTCCTCAGATCAGCGATCTTTCTATTTCGAATGATGGCTTAAAGTTCCCTTCCGCCTTCCATAGGTGCGATCCTTCTTCAAATTTTAGAGCGTTCCTCAGTTTTTTCTGAGCAACTTTTAGTTTTACTTTAGCCGGTGGGAATCGATTATTCTGCCATCTCGACACAGTCTACGCTTTTCGATTACTAAGCTGTTGGTGGTTCGATTCGGATACACTCTGTTGTGCTGATGCTACAGTGGTCGCTGTTGAGAGCAAAGAATCGAATATATTAATAATGTCCTCTTTATCCATTTCATATATTACTTCAGCTTTCACTTGCATGTGGGTGCTAAGATATTTTGTACTTAAGCTAATTTGTTCTGGCCGTTCTGTGCAAAATATATGAGATCAGGTATTTTATTTGAATCGGTTATAATTGTGTTATATAATTGTGGACCTTTTGGGTTATAAGACGCATGTTTGGCATTGTCATCTCCACCGGCAATAAATCTATTACCTAGAGTACTAAAAAAACATATAAAAGTTTATTTTAAAGTTTACACCCGAATACAATTTTATTTATTAATTTCCTCCTGGTTAAGTGCTAATCGCCACTGAGCTGACAGATATGCCTTAACCGGGCGTTGTGAAAACGAATTTCATTCTACCTTCTGATTAAGTTATGATTGAGTGCTTAACCGGGGATGGACGAACGGGACAGGCAGGAGAAGTTTTGCAGATTATTCCCGAAAACTAGATGAAAAATTTTGACGCATTAATTCAAGCCGTAGACGCTATGGCAGTGAACACAAGAGGCCATGTATTAAGCGGGGCTGAACATTCGAAACCAAAAATAAATCTATGCAGGAACAAGCTTCCGAAATTGAGAGATTGGCTTTTTGGTTGGACTTCAAAAGGATAAAAATCCAGTGGC